AGGCGCTCAGCGTGTTGCGAGCGGATCCCCGCCGAGCGGGTGGCAAGGGGAGCTTGCCACTACCAGGGCCCTGGGTCAGGACCCGGTGGAGAGGGCGGGCCCGGGTCCCCCTACCACCTCACCCCTGAACCGTGAAGGGATTGTATGGCCTCCAGCCGCTAGGCCGCAATACTCTGCTTGCAAGGGGGATTGTACAGACTCTGTCCGCAAGGCCACACTACCCCACCTGCGAGAGGGATCGCACGGACTCCGACCGCTAGGCCATGCTATCCTGTTTGCGAGGGAGATTGTATAGACTCTGGCCACTAGGCCGCATGAGCCCACTTGCGAGGGGGATTGTATAGACTCTGGCCACTAGGCCGCATGACCCCACTTGCGAGGGGGATTGTATAGACTCCAGCCGGTAGGCCACCCTACCCCGCTTGCGAGGGGGACTGTATAGACTCCAGCCATTAGGCCACACTGTTCCCACGCAGGGAGCGATTTATGTGGACTCTGGCCATTGGGCCACACCACCCGGGTACTTGGGGCCAGGTACACGGACTCTGGCCGATAGGCCACACTACCTCGCCAGCCAGGGGTGATTGTTTGGAAGGAGGCCACTAGGCCGCCCACAGAGAGATGGGCGCTGGAACTTGAGAGTGGTGAGGCGCCGACACCACATCCCACCCCTGCCACAAAGGGGCGCTGTGGTGCCAGGCCCGCCACACTGACCAATAGTTTCTCCTTTGCACCTTGGTTTACGTAGGCCCTAATTTTTGAGATAACATTGGTATATGGGGTGGGAAGAGCCAGGTTGGCTCATTTTAAGATAGATTCTCTTTGTCATAATGAAAACCCTCTGCAGTTACCCCTATTGGTCAGAGGTCTTCTTTTTAAAAACTTCCCTTTATTTCATTAGTTATTCTTTGAACCAGACATCCACCCTACTTCATTCCTTCTGGCCTTACAAGTCATTACTTTCAAGGCCTTTCTTTTATTTGCTAGTTAGGGCCTTTCTTTACAAAAGATTTCCTTACCCAAACTTAAGCTAACTTTAATTCTCTAATTTTATATTTACTCTACAGAGTGAGTACTCAATTTGTCCATATCCACCTCCATGTAATAGGCGTATGATAAATTTGGAGCCCGAAGCAAAGTCACAGTAGTAAGCTTATGTGGGGCAGGGGAAAGCTGGCTTCTTCCCAGGGCAATGCCCTTGTATAGTGCCCATTCACTACCTGCCCCAGTCTTCAAAATCAATCATCAGCTAGTAAGTTTAAACTCTCTAGATGTTGGGTATCTAGTAAATTTCCATCCCTTGCATGCAAGGCAGACAAGAGAGCAAGAGAAAAAGTGATGGGTTGCATATGGAATTTTTTTTTGCGGGGGACGGGTTGGAAGTAGTGAGAAGAAAGACTACAAAAATCTTGAGATTAGGTGGATAATATAGGGAAACAAATAAAAGGAAAAAAGCAAACAGACACTAAAGACAATTCTAGAAAAAAAGTACCATGAGCTATTATAGGGGGAAAAAAAGTTAAATGAAATCAGAAAGGGAAAGGTTGCATAAGAAGAGATGAAGTAAGTAGGGCCTGCAAAATATTATTCAGTCAGTATTTTAGACTAATTTCACCTATATTCATAGGATAATTTGACAAATACTTTTTGATATGCTCTGCAACTAGTCAAATACTATTTGACAAATATATTATTCAATACCAGTGATATTCAATGAATATATTCAAATATTTTCCTATTTGACCAGCCCAAATAATAAGTTACAATTTTAAGATGTTAATGAAGCGGTATCCGAGGCAAGAATATTGCACGTTTTGGGTGCTACAGCAATATAAAAAATTG